CGACGGGGCGAAGGAGCGCAAGGGAGCCGGGAGCTGGATGCCTTCGGAGCGGGGGGAAGTTGACGCACGGGCCTAAGAATAGTGCGGGGAGGGGAAGCGTGGACGCCGCTGTCGCCAAAGGTAACGGCCGCCGGTGTGTGAGGAAAATCGGCTTTTTTGAGTGAAATTCGCCCGGCTTTCCAGGGGCCCACGCGTGGGGAAGCCGCTGTTTCCCGCTGTAGTAGGTCCATGTGCGGTGGTTCAGGGTGGTGCCTGCTCAGAGCGTTATCGCCTTTGCTCTCTGGTTGTGTTTCAGCTGTTGATGAGATTGCAGCCAGGAGCGGAGAAGGCTTTGGACCTTCCCATGATCGGGACCTTTGACTCGTAAAGGGCTCCTTCAAGAAGCTTCGCGGGCCAGAAGAGGGGAAGAGAGAGCAGCCGGCGGTCGGAGGGAGCAGACCCCGTCCCGGAGCGTGGGGAATTGGGGAGGGGGGGGCGAGAGGAAGTCGCTGTATGTGGAGTTTTGGGACAGTAAGTCATGTGGATTTTAATGTATTTGTGCAGTCTGTGTTCTGAAACAGTCGTGAAGAAGATGAAAGGGCGGGAGGAGGCTGTCTTCTCGGGAGGAAGGGGTTGTTGCTTCTCAAGTTTTAATTCTTTAATTACACTCTGCTGCCCAGCCAGCCAGTTCCAGACTTTGAGGAGCAAGACAAAGTCGTCCCAAACCCAAAGTCTTTAAATCAAAAAGTTCTTTAAACTTTTATCCCGTGTTTGGCGATAACCTGAATGCCAAAGTCGTTGCTTTATTTTTGTTTGTGTGAAAGTGGGGCAGAGGAAAGCCAAACCCACCCAACCTGTTGTGTGGAGAATTCATCTGACGCTGGTTTGTTGTGTTGTGTTTATAATTCCCAAACCTTCCACGTGTTTTCCTTCTCTGCCAGAAATGCTTTCTCTGAAGAAATACTTCACCGAAGGCCTCATCCAGTTCACCATTCTGCTCAGCCTGATCGGCGTTCGTGTGGACGTGGACACCTACCTGAACTCACAGCTCCCCCCTCTCCGCGAGATCATTCTTGGCCAGAGCTCTGCTTACACCCAGACCCAGTTTCACAACCTGCGTAACACCTTGGATGGATATGGCATCCACCCAAAAAGCGTAGACCTGGACTATTACTTCACCGCTCGCAGGTTGCTCAACCAGGTGAGGGCCCTGGACAGGTTTCAGGTGCCCACCACCGAAGTCAACGCTTGGTTGGTGCACAGAGACCCTGATGGCTCCGTGTCCGGTGGCCAGCCCAGCGCCGGCATCGCCCTAGAGAACGGCAGCGGTTTGCAGGATGGGAGCAGCCCAGACAACGGGGTGAGAGAGAGCGGCGCTGAGCAGGGTTTTGGGGAAGAACTGGAAGATTTGGGAGCGGTGGCTGCGCCAGTGAACGGAGACCTGACCAAAGAGGTAGGCAGGACCTTTCTTTTGCCTGTGGTGTGGGGAAAAGGGGGCTCTGGGGGTGCTCTTGCTTGCTGGTACCCATCCAAGCGAGTGGTACTCTATGTTGTGGGTGTTTAGCAGTTGGGAGAAGTGGATCCCTGCTTGGGGACGGTGTAATGCCGAATGACTGTTCAGTTTGAGAGGTTTTCTTCTTTTTGCTTGTTTGATTCTTGGGCTGAAAGTAACAGTGAAAGGACGAGGGAGAGGGTCGGGGTCAGCGTTTCAACCTGCGCGCGTGGTTTTGCGTTGTGAAACCGGTGAAAGGAGGCCGGGAAATAAACAGGGGCATTGGGTAACAGCCCCAGCCCAGGTGTCGAGCGGGCGGTTGGGTTACTTGGCTCTGGAGCCGATCCAGTGGAGATGTTTATTGCTTGGTTTTCATCACAGACGGGTGGGGAGAGGTGAACTGGAAAGCACTTTGGGTGGTTTTTTTTCCTGTCTGAGCGCAACCTTTCGGGGGGCTGTGATGCAACGCAGGTCCCTGGGAGCCGCTGCTCTTTCTCCCTCTTGGCACCGCTCTCTTTGTCACGGCGCGTTCGGTGGCGCGGGGGGGACCTCAGCTCTGATTCGTGGCGTCGGGGCCTTCCGAGCGTCGCTCTGGCTTCCCATCAATTGCGGCTGGGTCGAGCTGCTGAGGCGTCTGGGCATGGGGGAGAGCCGAATTCAGCTGCTGCCACCCCTGTCCCCTGCAGTGAGGGGTGGGCAGCTCTGCCGGCAGCTGTCGCGGATGCCTGGGGCTTTTGTCACGGGGCTTGGGCGCAGCAGCAGGCGGGGAATGGAGTGAGGAAAGCAGTGTGAACGTGGGGCCGGAGACACAAAGGTGACGATTGTTTTGGGTCCGGTATTGATGGGTCCCGAGGTATCCCTGTTTCCTGAGGCGTTCGGGCTGTGAGACCGAGGGTGAAAACCCAGCTCTGGGTTTGCGACGACCTCGGAGGTGTCAAAGAGGAGCTTGGGGCAGGGCAGAGCACGAGGAGGACGTTCACACGTGAATTAGGAGGGGTTAGTGGGGGAGAACCGGATCAAACACCTCACACAAGGTCAGGCACAGCCCTGGAAGACTTTGCTGTCCTTCCCTGTGTCTGGAGGGCAGGCATTGGGTCTGGGGAGCCCTTAAGAGATCCCAGCAGCAGATTTGGGTGAGAAACGTTGCAGTTTATGTGGCACCAGGCCGAAAACGCTGCTCTTTTCCAGAGGCCCATTCATTTCTGCCAAAAAACACCGTCCCGTGTTGGGTGCCGTTGCCATGAGCCACCCAGGCGCAGGGTGAGGCCGCAGAATTCCCGATGCAGGGTGGGAACCCCGCTCCTGCTGCACCTTCGCACCCATCGCCCCTTCAGGGAGCTCTGTGTCTGCACCACCCCTGCTCTGCAGTGTCCAGGCGTCCGTGCTCTTCCTTGGGCCTTTATTTTCCATCTTTTTGTCCCCAAAAAAGGCTTGGCTAGAAGAGGAGGTGTTACTGCACCTGCAAGGCGCACTGCACTGCGGGGAGGGGCACAGTGCCCAGGTACCCAGCACCAGGAAATCCCGACTGCAGAGTCCACCTCGCACACCCCCATCGCACCGTCACCCGTCACTGTCACCCATGTCACCATCACCCGTCACACCGCCGCCCTCCCCATCACCCTCTCTGCCCCTCGGGGCCAGCAGCACCGCGCTTGCTGCTGCTGTGACGCGTCGAAGCACTGAGCCTTCTTGCAAAGAATTTACCCGGTTTGGGGGTTATTTTTGGTGTCTTTGGTACCCGGACTCCCTGGTAAATTCCCTTTCCGATGGGAATAGCGTGCGAGCGGTGCAGCCTGAAGGCACCTGCGGGGCACCGTCCTTCCCCCCTTCGTTAGGAGGAGGGTGATGATGATGATCATCTGCAGATGCCTTTAGGGCCGGGGTTTAATTTTTTTCCATGACTTTTCCTGGCATTTCGAATATTGCGGCTCCCTATGGGTCGACCTTGCTCGGGGAATAGGGCTGCGCTTAATAATTTTAGAAGCTGGAGCCGCATGGTGCGGAGCTTTGGGGCTGCAGAGGGTGCCTGGGGATCATCCAAAAATGGGAAATTCCTTTTTTTTTCCCCCTTTTTTAAAATCCAGTCCTTAAAGCTGGGTTTAATCCCGAGGCCTTTCCTCTGCAGCATTGGGGGTGGGGAGGCACCGGGGCCGTTTCCACAACAGAAGGATAAAAATCCGCGCCCGCCAGCCATGTGATGAGGTGCTGGTGCTCAGCCTTGGCCCCGGGGGAGGGGGTGCAGCCGGAGTAGGGGGAGGATCTCCTTACACTTGGCCCGTCTAGCGGCCGCGGTTATCGGGCCATGCCCGTTGTGAGAGTCTGTGGGGGGCGAGGAGGAAGACGGGGTGGAATCGCCCCC